CCTGTCTCGAAAAACCAAAAAAAAAAAAAAAAAGAAAGTGTGGTATATGTACCAAATGGAGTTTATTCAGAATGAGATTATGTTATTGACAGAAAATGGATGCAACTGGAGATTCTCAGAGTAAGCAGAGTGCAACATGCTCAGACAGATACCTGTCTGTTTACCCTCATTTGGGATCCTTGACTTTATATAGACATAGATGATCATTTATACACATATGATATAAAGAAGAAGAGACTGTCAGGTTGGGGAGAAAAGAGGGTACACATGATATACATCAATGAAAATATCTTATGAAACTCACTATGTACAGTGAACATATACTAACTTAGTAAACTTTCTCAAATTCTGAATACAGGTATCCCTTGCTGCCTATACTGACCTCCAAATTTTGGTGTTTCCATTAGCTTTTTTTTAAAAGTCAGAGTCTTACTGTGTAGTCCCAGATGGCCTGGAATTCACTGAGAATGTGCTCAAACCTCTGCCTCCCAAGTGCCAGGATGAAAGGCCACTACTCTGGGTTTAGATGAGTACCTTAATTTCTGATTTCTCATGCTTCTTGCCTAAAATTCAGGAACCAAATCGCTACAGACGGTATGACTGGCACTTAAAAAATAGCTCCTCTCTCTAGCATCCTTCTCAGCCTTTACTCACACCGTTAGGTTTTACTCTAGCAAAATGAACCTGTTTGTAGCTTGTCTAGAAAAGTCATTGCTAAAGTAATTGAGAGCAGGCATGTTTGATTACTATATTATTGGGGGATTAACTATAGACATACACAGCTAGCTCTAAGGCATGGCATTGTAGCATTGTAATAGAATTGTGGTCTCGGTTATCATAGCATTAGGAAGTGCTTTCTGCTCATCTCTAGAACTTCTGTGCTCGGAGTGTGTACTTGAGTCAAACTAAAGAAGAGGCTCATGAAATCATATTTTTGTGCTAAAGTAAAAGGAATAATTACACCTGCCCTTTTTTAAAAAATGTAAAACATGCTTTCTTAGAGAAAATGTGGGATGCTGCAAAGGTATACCCTAGCATATGTTTTCACAAATAAATTTCCAAAGCAAAATATTTGTTTTGAGATTTTTGGTATATATAACACATAGACATAAATATGTTTGATGTCTTTAGAAATTTGGTGATTATTTTGGTCCTGATGCCATTTTTTTTTTTCTGTCAGACTGGCAGTGTTTTGACAAATAACAGATATAAGAAACACAATCATTTGGAAAGCATCTCATATATTTGAAATAGTAATTATTTCTGGTATCATGGAATTTTATTTTTGTGGGCTTTTTGTTCAGTTGGCTTTAGGTTTTTGAGACAGGATCTTATAATGTGCCCGAGTTCCTCTTGAACCCACTACATAGCCAGAGATGGTCTTGAGTCTTCCTCCTGCCTTTGCCATCCAAGTGCTGGCTTCCAGGTGTGGACCACCATCGGGCGCAGCTTTCCAGTCTGTTTAGAAGGAAATTCGTGGAGCTGTTTTCTAGAGAGATCAGTTGCTAAGTTTAGCGTTGGTATCCACATGTGGGTGTGTTGAGGACTTAGAGACACGGTGTCCCTGGAGCCTGCACACCATCACACAGACGGTCTGAGGGGCAAGGCCTGCTTGCCGAGCCTTTAGGAGAACCATCTGAGCAACAGTTTTCCAAATGAGTGCCCTGACTTGGACTTAGTAAGATTTGTAGCAGATTTGGCACCAGGACCTTTATTATTTTTGTGAAGAATACTTCTGTTTTACTAAAGGAAGTATATCACTGTCTGCAGATGAAGGGTTTGGGTTTTGGATTGTTTATTTTGTTGTGTTTTAAGTTTGAAATTAAGTACTGATTTCTGACTTTCATAAAACTTCTTTTGAGAACAAAACCTCAATATGGAGAGATTTAGATTTTAAACAAGATACAATTTATTTTATTCTCAATTGGCGTTATACTCCTTGCTATTCACTTTTTTCTTTCAACCTTTATGTGTATGAATATTTTGCCTGTATTTATGTCTGTGCGGCACATGCATGCAGCACCTGCAGATACCAGGAAAGGGCGTCGGAGCCCTGGAATTGGAGGCACAGATGGTTAGGAGCTGTGGGTGCTGCTGCAGCTCCGAAAGAGCAGCCGGTGCTCTTGGACTGCTGAGCTAATTCTCCAGCCCTCTACCTTTGTTTCCTGGAAGGTTTTCTGATTCCTAAACTAGGTTAATACCGCTGTGTTCACCTTGTAATTTTAGAGTAACTTTAAGGAACAGGGAAAATTGTATTTTTTACTCTGAAAATTAGATGAAATTGAGCCATTTAGCTTGTGACAAAGTTAGACCTGGTAAGGTATTTTGAACTTTAATAGCTCTTAGGATCTTAAATGCTGGCCATTTCAAAAATAGAAAAGTATTCTTGGTTGCTATGAAACTTTTTTTGTAGTGTTTCTGCAACTGCAGAGATCTAAGCATTTCTGAAGTCTATATAAGGTTCTCAGGCAAGCAGAGGCCATGTGTTTTCATGACTGCTCAGCAGTGGGTTGTGGCTCCCTGGAAATGGGGGACTAGTGAGGTTAGGGCAGAGGAGTCGTTACTACACCACGTAGAAAGTGAGTCTGTGTGGACTGTCAGGGAAGAAATGGCACGTCTCTCCAGGTAGACTCTCCGTTCCGTCTACTCCACTCAGTGTCGGCATTTGCTTAGGAGTTCCATCCACTCCACACAGTGTTGGTGTATGCTTAGGAGTTCCATCCACTCCACACAGTGTTGGCATTTGCTTAGGAGTTCCATCTACTCCACTCAGTGTCGGCATTTGCTTAGGAGTTCCATCTACTCCACACAGTGTTGGCATTTGCTTAGGAGTTCCATCTACTCCACACAGTGTTGGTGTATGCTTAGGAGTTCCATCCACTCCACACAGTGTTGGTGTATGCTTAGGAGTTCCATCCACTCCACACAGTGTTGGCTTATCCTTATGAGCTTTTGAGACAAAGGGTGGGAGGGCAGGTGTTGCTGGTTTCAAAGGCTGTTTTTACTTTCATTTTTAGAGAACTTTCTAGGGCTCTGGTTACAACTCAGTGGTGAAGGGTATGCTGAGAATCTGGAAGGCCCTCGGTGCACTTAGCACCATGAAAACACAATTGAAAATGAAAGAAAAAAATTCTTTTATAATATAAATTCTTTTTTTCTCTATATTTTGGAGTCTGCAGAAGGCATTGTTATTCTGATCCTTAGAGAACATAGGCAAAACAATCATGTGATGTGTTCCTCTAATAGTAATTTCAGTAATAGAGTACATAATTTTGATTGACTTTTTAAAATAGTGCTGGAAATTGAGGCTAATTCATTCAAAAGCTAGCATTTTTTTCTAATTCTTTTAATGTAGTGATTGGCTGTAGGTGCTCTGCAGTGTGTACAAGTGAGAATGCTGACCATGGTTTGAATGCCTTTGCAGATGCTTTGCATGCATACTTTGGGATCTGTGGCCTGTCCCTAATGGAGGAGAGTGGGATCTGCAAGGTCCATCCTGCTCTGAATGTAAGCACACGAACTTCTGAGCGCCTTCGAGATCTCCATCAAAGCTGGAAGACCAAGGACTCTAAAGAGTGCTCAGAGAATGTCCATATTTCCACTTGACTGACCTTGGGGTAATGGGTTTGTAGCATAACTGTAGCTCAAGGTTAAAAGCCATGTGTAACCAAGTGTGCTCTTTTTTACAGGGGTAGTCTTAAGTCAAAGCTTGTACTGCTAACACTTCCACTGGACTGGATTTAAAGAAAATTCTTGTTGAAGTTGGGAACCTCAGCAGGACTCTGTTGTGGTTCTTAAATGTTTATAGTGTGTTTCTGAGAGGTTTCTTGGAATAGATTTACCAAATGTATGTAGGTTATCTTCTTAAAACCCTTCAGTACAAGTTCTGGCTTACAAAATGGATACAAATCTTCAAGTTTACACTTCATATGGCATTGATAATCTTCAGGTGAGCATTTAGTGATCACTTAAAAAAATCTCTACTGCTGATGGGAAGAAATTTGCTTTATTGAATTAAGTATCTGGGGTTTTTCTTTAAAAATCGATGGTCTCATAATTTTCTTCAAGAATAACATATTTTGTGTTATTCTTAAGATGTGCCAACTAGACTTGTGTAAGCTATCCAGATGAAATTAAAAGTTCATAGTAAGAAAAAATAGGCTTAACTAATGCTATAGTTTTCTAAAGAGAGAGTAGTGCATAACTGAGGGAGAAGGTCATGTAATTATGAATGAGAAGGGTCTGGGTTGTCTTTATTATAGGTTCCTTGGGTGAGTACCTGTTGTCTTTTGTTTTAATCCCAAATCATTGGCTTTTGTCGGGGGCAAGGGAAGAAATAATCTTTGTTGTCCAGAAAAAAGATATTCAGTGTTCTATTCTTCTGAGGTTCATGACACTGTAAATTATACTTGTATGGTTATAACTGAGTTCTTTTTAGTTGCTTCGATTTTTTTTTTCCTTTTCAGTATTTTGTAGCCACTGTAGTTAGCTGCTTTATCTCCCACCAGGTTGAGCATCCTTAATCCAAAATTTAATATCTGGGCCAGGCATAGTGGCACATGCCTTTAATCTCAGCTCTTGGGAGGCAGAGGCAGGCAGATCTCTGTGAATTCAAGGCCATCCTGGTCTGCATAGTAAGTACCAGACCAGACACAGCTGCATAGTGAGACCCCATCCTGAACTGAAAAAGCAAAACAGCAACAAAAATAATAAAATCCATTATCTGAAATGCTCCAGAATCTAAATTTGTTGACTGACAGCATGACATAATTGGAAAATTCCACCACTTCATGCAACAGGTCACAGATGAATTTCAGGGACACTGTAAATAGTATATAAAACTACTTGAAATTACTGAGTAAAGTGTATGAAATAAATGCATTCCATGTTTAGACTTGGGTCACATCCACAAGGTAAAGTGCATATGTAAATATTCGAAAAATCTGAAAATAGAATTGAAAATCTGAAACATTATGTTTGGTTCCAAGCATTTTGGATATTGATACTCAACCTGTAAATAATTTTCTAATGTTTTCAAGTTTGATAAATCTTTAAATATAAACAGAACCACTGAGGTATACATAGTCATTTATATTTTTATATTTTTGGCTACGTGGGAGGGAAATATATCCATCTAGAGGGGATAAATTATGGTTTCACTTATTCATTGTCTTGTTTTGTTGTCTTAATTCTATGAACTAACAACCAAAAGAAACTGGTGTAAAAATCTTTGTTAGCAATCAGCTTGTCAATAAATCACATCCATGACTTGGTGACAAGAAGGAAATTTCTTCATTAGAGGAAATGAGTGTGTTAGTCTTGCTAGTAATAAAAGTTGTATTATTAATCTACAGACATCATTGTAAAAGCTAAATTATCGGTGTCACTGAGTAGATAATAGCATTTTCATTATTTCCTAAACTAAAGAGACATTTCCTAAATAAAACATACTTCTAAAGGGAAACAGCATATGATTAAAAAGAATACATGGCTTAGTTTTAGAACTGACTTTGCAAAGTCAAGTGGAACAGTGCTGGGAGTCTAGCTCACTTCACTGCCTGCTTTGCACAGGCCCTGGGCTCCCTGGCTTTGATCCTTGGCCCCCAAACTAACAAACCAACCAAATCCTCATTAGAGAGGAATCTTCCAGTGGTGGAGAGAAAAGCTTTACCAACAACTGTTATCCTCCCAGGAGTTGTTCCAGTTGCTTCTGTTTAAATCCAAGCAAGTAACAACAGTCCTGCCTCAAGCTGAGTTCTCTCTTGGCCATTAAGAACTGAAAGAGCGTGTATGCAAACGCTGTAGGTGTATAGCAGGAGCCAATGTTTTCCCTGAGTTGCTGCTGTCAGTTGTTGGAAGGTAAGAAAATTGGTTCTTAATAAAGAGAAGATTTATAACAGAAAAGTAGTTTGTATTTGCAAACTCCTTGAGTAATTTACTGGCAAAGAAATATTATTGGCAGAATAATTCTAATATACTCTTAAGAGTATACTTAAGAGTATACCTTGGTTCCATGTGATACTTTATAGACCAGTGAATGTTGGTGTTTCATAGAAACATATCAACCAAAAAATGCTGAGTTGTTTTGAAGTGTGAAAAAACTATTTTTAGCTTTTCCTAAATAGATGTGTCTAAGAAAACATTTATTAATAAAGTAAATTAAAAGCAATGTTTCATATATAATCTGTTCTCCCGCAGTAGGGGCACAGTAAGAGGAGAAGCATGAAGTTCAGATGTACCAAGCCGTGCCCTCCTAGCCAACCTCTCTCCATCTCCTCTCTCATTGAACTTTGGAAGAGTAGTAGCAAGGAACATTTATTTGTCACCTACAGTTTTAGGTTTGACCTGCAATTCTTGTTTTTATTAGATTTTTTAATAGGTATAAATAATAAAGTTCAAATATAAATTTTGCTGACAATGGTCATAATTTGAAGTGCCAGACCTGATAGTATTTGATAAACATTTGATAAACAAGATGACTTGAAGTTTAAATTACATATCTGCCCATTGAGCAGCATGATCTTGGATCCAATTCCCCTATGGTACAATGAAGTGAGAAATAGAATTTCATTCACTAGGCTGATTCAGGTTTAAACGAGATCGTATATAAAAAACACTTTGCATACAGTGAATTTCTAGTTATGGTTTCATATGACCATAGAAGTGTTTTTAAAATCTCTTGTACATGGAAATCTTAACAGGGTTTAGACTGAAGGAAGATGCTGCCAACAAGAGCAGTTTCTAAACTTTCCCAGTGAGTGACAGAGGAAGATCAGGTATCACCACAGGCGCTGCAACACTGGGGACAGGTGGTCCCCATGAGCCTCAGCACAGGTGAAAGAACAAATGTGCCCTACCTGTGCAGAGGGTAGAGGAGGAAAGTACCCGGGTTCTGAAGCCCTGCAAATTGGAGAGCTGTGGTATTGCCATGTTCTCACTACAGAGGAAATGGACCGATCTGAAAATAAAGGCTGAAACTCAGAAGAGCTCTCCAGATCCTGTCAGCGGTCTGGTGAGTGCGGGGCAGTGGAAGGTGTGTTGATTACAGTAGATAGAACAGCCTGGCCTGATGCCATGTACCTTTTGAAATTAATGAGGTAAAGCACAGCACTGGAAAGAAACTGCTAGAATTAGAATCAATTGGACAGGATAGGCCTAGGACATAAAGCAGAGATAGCTAAAATAAATGTTGGGAGGAAAGGCCTGTAGACATAGATGCAGAATTATAGGCATACATAATCATTTAAATGACAGAAAATGGAAGGGTGCTGGGAAGATGGAGCCATTTCCTAGAGCAACCCTTCCTTCTGAACAATGACTTAACTTAAAAAGCAGGTGAGTATTCGGTCCCCAGAGTTGGAGCAGTGCCCTCCCAGGTGAGAGCACACCGGACCAGTGAAACCTAACACTGAAAAGGTGGTGACAGCAGCTGTAGTGTTTGCAGTGACACGCACGGCCTCAGAATTGCAGCAAGGAGCAAAATGAGACCAAGCAAGGAAGGAGGCAGGAAGAAAAGCAAAGGCAGTTAATCTAAAGCCAAGAAGTGCAAAAGCTCCGGCCTTGGCATGGTAAGGATGCTCAGGGAAACAACCCATCAGCTAACCTCAAAGACACACAGGAGGAGCATGTAGGAGAACATAAATGACAAGGGGAAGGGCCATTAAACACAACTGATTTCAAGTTGTCTTAGGAATCTCACACAAATTCAAAGGTGAAGTTTTTAGAGAAAAATGTAAATTGATAAAATTTAATACAGAGACTATAACTACCATAGGGAAATGCAAATAAAGACCATTGTACAATCTCGTAAGATTGAAGAATCTCAACATTGCATTAATAATTCCAGAGGCTAGAGAAAGAATCTTGAATCTTAAATTACTACATAAAAGAAATTTTCCCATGTTTACTTTGTAAAGTTGGCACAATCACATTAATTTTAAAACATAACAAAGATTATGCCAAAAAAGGAAATCCTAAGTCATTCAGGCTTGCTAGTATCTCCAGACTGGGACAGTAGTTCTTCTAGTAGTGTTTGCCACTCAACCATGAAGACCTGGGTTCGATCCCCAGCACCCAAGGCAAAAACTGGGCTTGGTGTTGAACACTTGTTCCCAGTGCCAAGAAAGCAGGAATAGGCAGATCACTGTACTTTGTTGGCTAGCCAGCCCAGCCTCATCGATGAGCCCAAAATCCCCCTGTCCAGCCCTGCTGAGAAAATAAGGTGAGGCAGGTGAGCTGTTTCAGTTGGTAGAGGCTCTCGCTACACAAGCCTGACAACGTGAATTAGATTTCCTATAACCCATGTAAAGGCGAAGGGAGAAAACCAACTCCACGGAGTTGTCCTATAACTCCATGTGTGCCATGACACATGTGCCCACATACACAAATAATACATTTTAAAACCTAACATGAAAAGCTGAAGAACAACTGAGGTTGACTTCAGGCCTCCACACCTGCAGACACAGACATAAATATCAATAAAAATCATTCAGCGAATTGTTAGGCCTGCAACCCAGTAGCACTTGAAAGAGAGAATAAAATTATGGCTCAGTAGCATTTGTATTAGGAATGCAAGTATAATTCAGTTTTAGACCATCTTAATACAGTGTTAAAGAAAAGACATTTGATCTGATAGAATTAAGTACTCATATCAGAAAATGATAAAGAATTCACTAACATTGCACCTCTACCCTAGAGGCAAGCATCCTACCATTGAATCCAAAGAGTCTTTCTGACGAAGCCAGAACAGGAACATGCTCACTCTCTCCTTTACTAAACACCACATGAGAACTTTAGCCAAGGAAGTCAGAGCAAAGACATGAGTCAGGAAGATTCAAATCTGGCAAATAGGATCATCTACTTGAAAAACCCAAAGGAATTTGTTGAGACACCAAACCGTCAAAGAACCCAAGTAGCAGCAGTAGTCAAGGTGCAGGCAGCCTGAGGACTTCCTTTCCACGTTCCCACCAGATGTTGTCAGAAATGGCCTTCTTTCAACCACTCCTTCCCTCCGCGAAGTAATGCTCTCAGGACTGGCTTGGTCACCCGCTAGGTTCCCTGTGTGTGAGCTCTCTGTAAGTGCGACCATCTGCTGTACACTGTGTTTTACTTGGCTTCTCTGCCCTACAAGAGACTAAAGGGCGCCCTGGTGCTGGTTACAGAGGTGCGTTCATTTTATGAGTGTTTACCAGGCTGTGCCATCAGTCATGCTCTGTGCACTGTTCTCTGTGTGTAAATTTATTTACAATTCAATAAAAGTATTTAGTAAAAGAAAAGACTTCATATCTATATATACATGAACCTAAACCGTTTAGAAGATATACCTCAAGATCTCTGTGATTGCGGAAACAGACTCATGTATGAACCCCATCAGACATGTTTGAAACACCTATATGAGAAAATCCTGCTTTGGAAAAAGAAAACTCTTAGAAGACAATAGACTCAAGGCTGTGCCTTATTGTTAATAGGAAGACATCACGAAAACAGTTTTCTTGGGTTACTTTGTAAATTTAATGCCACTGCAATAAATACTATGCTCGTTTTCATTTGAGAGAATGTATTAGACTAGCCATTAAAACTGAGAAAGCAAGAAGAAACCAGCTCTGCCAGACATGAAGTATGCTGGCAAAAGCTATCGCAATTAAATATGTACATGCTTTGCTCAGGCAGTTGCATATCTACAAATTTAGATTAAACACACAAATAGATGATGATGTGCTTCAAGGATCTTCCAATGTATTTTAAGTCATAGGAGAAAAGGCGCTGTTTATAATACATTCATACAGTGCGATACTATACAAGTGTTAAGAAAGACAATGGTGTTTGTAATATATTGCTAATTGAACCAAAAGTTTAGTATTAAAAAATAGTTCAATAAACAAGGGAAATGAAATGTTAGAATTAGTCCCAGCAGCACATTAGAATAAAGGCAGCATCTGAAATCAGTGAGAAAGAGAACTTGTAAGTACCTAGTTCCCTAAGTAACTCTGTGTAATTGTTCACATATTTACAAATCCTTGAAGGATGTATAGTGTCGTCCATCTCAAACCTTTGCATGTTATACTGTACACCAAGGTACTGTATGTTCTGTGTTGTCAGTCATTCAGTGATAGGGATGTCTTTTAATATGTAGATTTTATCAGTTGCTGAGTATTGCCTAAGTTGTCATTATGGGTGACTTGTTTTTCACAGTTACAAATGTGTTGCTGTAAGATTCTTTTTTTTTTTTTTTTTTTTTTTTTTTGGTTTTTTTCGAGACAGGGTTTCTCTGTGTAGCTTTGCGCATTTCCTGGAACTCACTTGGTAGCCCAGGCTGGCCTTGAACTCACAGAGATCCGCCTGGCTCTGCCTCCCGAGTGCTGGGATTAAAGGTGTGCGCCACCACCACCCGGCTAAGATTCTTGAGAATGTATTTTTACACTGCCTATTTGTGTGTTTCTTTTAGGTACATTTATGGATATGGAATTGTTGGGATAAACTTTTGTACATTTTCAATTCTAGTAGCTTTTGGCAAATTGCTTCCTACAAAAGTCATGCTTTGTGGGAGCCCGTTCTCAGGTTCCCAGTGGCTTTACTCTGCAGGTCTGCATAAAGAGGATGACTGGACCACGGGCCTGAGTGCAGGTGTCTGAGATGGCCTGCACTTGGCTGTGCTGGGGGAGGAGGTCTTTTGCTCCACCCCTTGGCGTCTCTATAAAAACCCTGGACCAGAGACAGTCGGGGCCCGTTGGAATAGGTTCCAGGCCCTCTCGAGGCTATCCTTTATTTTCTATCTGTTTATCTCCGCAAGATTCTCTGCAATAAATCCTTCTATCTAATATTTCCTGCTGCTCACACTCAAGAAAACTCTGGGGAGCTGTGGGGGTGGTGGGTAAACGCCCCGCAGTGCTGGAAAATAATCCGCTGGTTGCTTCCTCTGTGGCATTGGGAAAGAGTGGTGGCTTAATTCCTTGTCCTCATCTTGCAACTTGATCTAGGCTCCTGCTTCAGAGTGACTGATGTTAGGTCTGTATTCCCAGTAATGAGGCCCACACTGGAGCCCATGCCTTCCATGTCTGCTCTTTAACTAGAGGGTTTGTCCGCCACCCTCTGGATTCTTTCCACATTTCCCCTGATGTTCTGCTCACTTGTCATTAGAGCTCTACTTGAATTAAGGACTGTTGTTAAAAGTGTATGTGGGATTGCCTGAAGTAATTGAAGATAATAGTCTGTGCATACATGGTGTCTTCATTTTGGAAGGCGGTGTATGGTTCTATAGGACTATATAATACAAAATTCAGGGTTTTTTTTTTTTAAGTGTGTGTAAAGGTTAGGGATGTAGGTCAGCAATAGAGCATGTGCTTAGGATGCACCATGCTCTGGATTCCATCCCCAGCACCATCAAACAAAAATATTATGTGGGAACATAAAAGGCATGTAAAACTGAAATGAAGTGAAAGATTTATTAATGGCTAAGATTCATGGCTGGTCTTCTGCCTCGCTCCATCGTTTTTGAACACGTCAGGGGAATTTGATAGACCATGTATTCTCTAAGGAGTGAAGACAATGGTGGCTGAGATCATCAATTTGATAAGTGCACTAGTATAGCTTCCTAGAACATTAATAGAAGTTTGTCTTATAATTTAAATTTCAGTAGTTGAATACCACAGTAGACTATTCAAAAGCTATTTTGTTGCAGATTTTTTTAACCGATCATGTTATGAAAACTATAGTTAGACTACAGAAATACTTCATACAATATCTTTTGTGACTCATTTTATTAGTTCTCTTTTCCCTTCCTGTATTCCAGGCTGTTCTCAAACTCTCTGTATAGCTGAAGATGACCTTGAACTTCTGATCTTCCTGCGTCTGGTTCTGTGCAGCTGGGATTACAGGCCGGCACCACCATGCCCAGTTTACTTAGTGCTAGGTATTGAGTTTAGGGCTTCATGCATGCTAGACCAGCATTCTGCTAAGGGGTACTTAGTTTGTTTCTAACTTAAGTATGTTAGAATGTTCCTATAAACATTGATTGATTTCTGTAGGGTTCCCACAAAATACATTTCTGGGCCAAAGGATGGGTGTTTGAAAAATACTGGTACTTACTCTTTATTGTCCTGTACGAGCAGTGCACATTAACTTAGCCACCGGGTATTATGTTTGCCCATAGCCTCCGCTGCATTGGAATCTGCCAGTTTAAGAGTTTGTTCTGGTGGGGGAAATGGCAGGCCCTTGTTACAAATATGCAGAAACACATCCTGATAAGTTTGTGTAATATTGAGTGATGAGTTTATATGCCTGTAAGTTAGATCAGAAAATTGTCTCTCCATTAACAGGACTTAGAACACTAGTTTGCAACGTGTGGTTTCCAGACAGAAGCATTGGCATCACCTGGAACAAAAATAACAGCGAAAGCAACAACTGCTACTGCTCCCCCCACACTCCTTCTCTTAATAAATAAACATGTAAAGAATGTATTAAGTTAGCTTATGTTGGCATAGCAACAGGAGACGTCTCACACTGGAGGGGCTGAGACTCAGTAGTTGCTCAGTTTAAGAGGCTGGTGTCTCAATCGTCCGGATCTGGGGCCAGAAGCCTGGAAGCTTCCTGGAGAGCCATTGGTTCTGAGTCAGCAACTGAATTCTAGAAACACTGGTTCTAACACCAGTGAGGGAATCAGCAGCACCAACAGGGTGAGTCAGCTTGGGGTCAAGAGGGAAGGCCATGGGAGCAAATGGTGAAGCCTCCTGGAACATCTCATAAGATCAAGTTTCCTGCTTCTGGTAAATAGGAGGCTGCAGGGTGCCAGGTGTCTGTTTTCACAAGACTTCCGAATGATTCTGGTGCACAGTGAAATTCAAGGTTCAGGAAAAGTAGCTTGAGTAGGACAAACAATAACTATTTGTGAGGTTTATATTTAAAAATAGGGTCGTATTCAACAGTAAACACAAATTTAATGTGATTTTTTTTATTTTCACAAAACTAGTATGATGAGCCTGTGGTGGTAGAATAGAAAATGTAGTGGATACTCAAATATGTAAACAAGTGAGATTTACTTCTTCAATATTCCCAGTATTCGTTTACTCATATCTTTGTGGGGGCTGGAGGGGGACCTTTTAAATGTGTTAGCTAACAATGTTAGTGTCTCGTGCTCCTTGCTGTGTTGTATGTATTATCCAGGGTAGGGCTGGGGTGCTCTGCCCAGGCTGCTGCTGGGACTCTCCCTGGTGCCTCCTGGGCTGGCTGCTGCTGGTTTAGCATGGTCTTTCAAGGTACGTTTCTGGCTGCTTCTAATCTCATAGTCCCAACACTCTGGTGTCTGTGCTCCAAATTAGGCCTCTTTCTTTCCAACTGATGTCAGTGACCCCTCTGTCCTGACCCCTTCCCCACAAACACATTTACTGTCCTGTTGTGTGCCCAAACTCCCAGTGTTCTTCACACTGAAAGCACTGTCCCTTTCTGTATACCTAGCAACCTCTCCACTCTTAGTGCCGCTCAACAGACACAGAACATAAACCAAAAGTCTGCTTCCCCTAGACTTTCAGGTCTCTGCTAGAAACAGGTCACGGGAACACACTACATACCACATGTCTAAATATCAGCATATCAGCAAATCATGTTCCATTTCCCTTGGTTGACAAACACATCTTCATGATGACAGACTTGAAAATGCAAACACCAGCAAGTCATACTAAATTGCACACACCCACAGTTAGGTTGCATTTTCTATCCTAGGCTATGCTTTGGAAAATATTTCCCCCTGACTTTGTTTCTTGCCAGCTCTGACTTTTGGCAGTACTACGAATAACCACTTAGCCTTAGGGGTGGTGGGGGAGGGGTGAGTGTCTAACACCTGCCCAGTCTCCTCTTTGCCCACATTTATGCTCTCCCTGTGCCTCTATCCCAGCCCAATCTTTGCTATGTGCGAAGCCTCTGACACCTACCAACATCACCCTCTACTTGTCTCAAAGAACAAGGCTGGAAAGCCAGGTTTTGATGTTTTAGAAGTGTCTGTGTTGGGGTTCCCAGTGCATAGCCAGCCCTCCTCTTCCAGGTCTTGAGGAGCCCACTGGCCCTGGAATAGTCCTGGCTCCTTTGCCTTAGCTCATGTCCCACACCTAGCCCCACCAGACCCCTGCTTTTTACAGGTTTGACAAAGGACTACACACTCTGGGAGCACAGCCCAGAAAGGAGCCAGGAAGAGAGCCCAAGTAGGCCCTGGAGTGGGCTGAGGCAGGGGATTACAGAACCTGGCATCTGGGTCATGTTTGGGAAGTGGCCGGGTTCCTTGTGTAGG